AAGTATCCTGCAGTGGGATAGTGCTGCTGCTTTGTCTGTAATGAGCAAAGTGTCTGTGAATGCTTCACCCGAGCGTGTGGTGGACTTAAAGCTTAGGCGTGTGGTCACTCAGTGACAGGGCAGCCGCTCAATGACTGCCGTAAGCTGCCACAGTCTTCCGGGGTGGACACTCCATTTTGCCTTCCTGCCGATGGTGCATGAAGGCCATCAGTATCTTGCACTAACACGGCCTTTCACCTCGGCTGTTTTCACAGGTGTGCAGGAACGTGTCCTGTGGTTTCTGTTTCCCTAGTGGCCGGGTGCTCATTTATTTGCTCTCTGTAACGCCACACTGGCCACACTTTCTCCTGATTGGACCGTTTTTCTCTTGTTGAGTTTGAGATGGTGTACCGCAGATCACGTGTCCTGCGTGCTGGTGTCTGTTGATTCCGCTTTGCGCTGTCTTCTCTGATGGTCCTGTCTCTCTTCCTTGTGAAGCCCAGTGTGTCTGCTCTTCGTTACTGGATCATGGTTTGCCATTGAGTCCAGGATCCTAAAGCTTCTCTCGTACCTTTTACACCAGCATCCAGTGAAGTGTGAGTTCACTTTTAGCCAAGGTGTGAAGCACAGGTCTGCGTTTTGGCCTGTGTTCACATGCCCCAGTCACTTGGGCTATGGCTATGTGAACCTTACCCTACATCCTCCGTTTTGTTCCATTTTCTGTGTCCAGGCTTCTGCTGCTGACACAGCCTCAATTCCAGCAGGTTGTCCTGAACTCACCTATGCCACTCCCCAACTTTCTTCTTTACTGTGGTATGAGTGATACTCAGGTTACCCCCTGAAGGGAGAGAAACAAAACCAAGAAACCTACATGTGTTTAATATATTTAATGTATATTTGGCAAGTTTCAACTACTTCACTTTATGGAAAATAGCTTCAGGCATTCTAATTCTTTTGCCCTTCCTCATAGTTTTGGGATGGTTTATGAGCAGATGCATCTACAAAGATTCTTGCTAGCATTTTGATGGGAACTGGGCTAAACTTAGGTGTCCATTTGGGGAGAACGGCTATCTTTAGTGTGTTGGCTCTTCCGAGGTCTGAGAGTGGTGCCTCCCCATTTCTTGGCTCTGTTCCATCACCATGTTGTTGTTTTCGACATTTGAGTGCGGCACGTTTTTCTGTTTACACCCACGTGTTTTTCAGCAGTTATAAATGGTAGTGTAGCATTTTGGTGCTCAAGGCTGTGGTGTGGGAATGCTATGACTTCGCTGCTTCTCTTGTCTTGTTGAACTTGCTAATTGCCCTGTTCATTCTGCAGGTTTCTCTGCACATGCTCAGAGAAGGCCTACAGAGGCCACTGTGCTCTTTGCTGGTTGTGAGGCTTGCTCTCTGCTCTGGATGTCCATTCTTTCCTGCTGTGCTTTGCTGTGGTAGTGAGACAGTGTGGAGTGAGAGCATGAGAGCGTGCCTTGCTTTTCTCACCTCGGTGGGAAGCACGTGGGTTTCATCATGATGTAGGTTAGCTGTGGGCCGCAGGTCCTGTCACTCCCCACCCCGTCTTTCTCTTTCCCGTCTTCCATCTCCATCCCCGTCTTTCTCATTTCCTTCGTAAGATTTAAGACATTTCCCCATATTCCTATTCCTAAGTTTTTTTAATATCATGAATGAGTACTTAATTTTATCAATCACTGAGTTTTCAGATACCGAATTAGCTTACACTTCTGAAATATGCTGCTATAGTAATTCATTTTTGAACACTGCTAAATGCTGTCTGCTGCCAGCTGTTAAGGACTTTTGTATCTATGTTTCTGAGGGATGTCTGTCTTTGTGCTGTCTTTGGTTTGGGAATCAAGGTAACTAATTTCACAGAGTGGATTGAGAAGCATTCCTTCTGCTTGCATTTTTCGAAAGAAATTGTGTCGCATTGCTGCAAATTCGTCTTTAAATTTGGAGATGTTATTCGCTAAAACGCCCGGGCCTGAAGAGACCTACTTTGGCAATTTGAGCAGCATGAATGTTCCCCTTGGTTTGGGGCTGCGAGTTAACCCAATGTGTGTCTTGAGGACCCGTCTGTTGAAGCCTCTGAGTGTGGAGTTGTCATTGCTGTCCTTTGTTGTCCCTGGTCTTCCCAGTGATGGTCTTGAGCCCATTTGTCATTGGTCACTTGCTTTCCTTTGTCAGTTTATGCTGTTTCTATTTTATATTTTGGTGCTGGGGATTGAACCTGGGGCCTTGATCTCTGAGCTGAATTCACCGCCACACAGTCCCAGTGTTATTTGATAATCTTTCCAAACCCCAGCTCTTCTCTCTTCTCTTGGTTTGGCTTCCATCAACCCTGCTGCTTATTTTTCTCCTGCCTGCTCCGCTCCAGCTTCTTCCTACTGCCTGGAGACCCCGTGTCCGCACATCTCCCTTTCGGCTCTGCCTCAGCAGCAGCACATGGCTTCTGATGTGTTGAGTTCTCATTCCCACTGAATTCAGTGTATTTTAGACTGTCTCCATACTCCCCCCTTTGGCCCGTGGATTATTGAAGAACGCACTGTTTAGTTTTCAAGTGTTTGTATATTTTCTTGCTGTCTTTCCATGAGCGATCTGCAGTGTGTGGGGGTAGAGGACAGATGCTGTGCAGTTTCCTGTTAAGTGTTTGGGGCTGTCTGGCGGACTAGCATGAGGCTCTTCTGCTAACGCTCTATGCACCTTTGATGAGATTGCATTCTGCTCCTGTGGGAAGAGACTTCTATCAGGAAAAAACTCTACTGCTTTTTGGTCTCATCAAATTCAGTGTCCTTGTGAATTCTCCCAGTCCCCCTTCTTCCTTCCCTCCTTCCTTCTTCATGCTAAGGATGGAATCCAAGGTCTTATGCAAACTTGCAACCACTGAGCTGAATCATCCATCATTCTTGCTCATTTTCTGCCTATCATTCCTTGAGAGATGCACTGTGGATGAGCTCCCTTGGTTTCCCTGAGTTTTTGGTTCATGCACTCTGAAATTCTTTTCAGTGCATTCATGGGTTACCCTCTCTTCCTGGGGGCTTGGTACTCTTGCAGCACTGTGCCCTTCCCTCTGAGGTGCAGTGTCCATGTCTGTCACAGAACAGGAACTGCACAAGATTCCAGTTGTGTTTAACTTGAAGTTACCTAACTCCTCCCTCCGCCTGAGGTTCTGCTGCTGAGGGCACCCACTGGGTTTCTTTTTTAATTTTTTTTTTTCTTAGTGGCTATTGTACCAGGGAGCTGAAGCTTCTGTCTGGCTCTTCTTTGTATCTGCTCTTTGTGCTAGGCTTTTCTAGGTTTCCATTTGTTTTCAGCTTGTCCAAGAAATCTCATGTCAGATGCCTCTGACGTCTTTGCCAGTTTTTGGTGCTGGCATCTACTGACTAACTACTTTTCACCCAGTTTGCTATTTCTGTGGTTCTTTGTGTAAAGAATCTGGCATTTGTGGATCTGAGCATTTTGACTATTGACTTTAGATCTCTCAGAGCTTTGCTTCGGGTGGTTTTCATATAACACAGCAGAGCACAGGGCAGGCGTTTCCTAGTCTCTGTCTAACGTGGGTCAAGAGCACTCTGTCTGTACTCACACCGCGGGATTCACTGGGCAGCCCAGGCTAGCCTTAAACTTGCAGTCCTTCTGCCTAGGCCTTCTGGCATGACAGGCCTGAGCCCCTGGGCCTGGCAGGGCGTCTCACTGCGTGGTGGCCGGAGTGCTTCCTCCTCCTCTGCTCACACTGACACCAGTCTGGGTTGTGGGGACCAGGGGTGCCTCAAACTGCCTGGCGGTGGGATCTCAGGCTCCCTCCTCTGAGCGATTCTCTCTGCAGGGAGAGAGGGTGGCTGCTTCCTTGCTGGGAAGGGGAGGCAGGCTCGCAGGAGACCGTGTGCTGCTCCCAGCAAGGGCAGGACACCGTAATTCTGCAGCACTGGCTCCAGCAGCAGCCATTGCGTGAGCGCCTTCTGTTCTCGGGAGCCGCGTGCTGCCTTGTCCTTTGGCTGGAGAGAGAGTGTTTGTTGGAGAGTGGCATTGTCTGGGTGCCTTGGTATTTCCAGGTTACTCTTCCATCCTGAGGCACAAAGTCAGGGGCGTCCTGCTGTGGCTCTGTTCCTACTCTATCCTTTTAGTTGATTTTGTTTTGTTCTTTGAGCCCAAGCTTCCCTTCGTGGTGGGAGGGGGACAGATGGGGTCTCTTGTGTCTCAGGTTGGCCTCAAGCTCACTGTGTTGCTGAGATCTCAAACTCTTGATTCTGCTGTCTTGCTCTCTCGTTCTCCAGTGTTGGGCTTGCAGGCAGGCACAGCCTCACCTGGCTCTTGTGGTTCTGAGGTTCAAGCCCAGAGCTTTTCACAGGCTGGGGGAGCACAGTTCTGGCTTAGCTAGACATACTTCCTATACTTCCTTGATTGCTCTAGCGAGAAGTCCTTTCCACAGGAAGAGAAATTCCAGCTCAAGCCCAGAACAGCTGTGTGCCCAGGTGGAGTCTCTCATCCTCCCCCTTTCTGAGGAAGGAAAATCACATCAGCCCTCAGCATAGAGCAGTCCTCAGTGTGTGCATGAGACTGAGCTCCAAGTGGGTAGTCCTCAGTGTGTGCATGAGACTGAGCTCCAAGCCAGAGGCCCAGGATCGACACCACACTGTTCCCGGCGCAGATCGGTAAGTGTATAAATATCGGCTGAACGAGCTTGCTTGATTCTCCTGCTCAGCTTCTCACCTGTCACATATAAAACTGGCTAGTGGGAAACAAGCGAACAAGGTTGTGTTTAGAAATGAGCAAGACAATAAAATGCATTTGAACTGTTTAGCTCACTGCTTGGTTTGCAGCCGGCCAGACAACAGCCTGCCACCCTTTCCGAACAAGCCCTTCTGTTATCATGCCCACATAACTTCTCCTGTTCCCCTTCAGCGTGTTGTCGTAGCTACTGATCTGTTCACAGCGCTGTGAGCATTAGCCACTGGCTGGCAGGGCCCAGTGCCGGTGCTTCTGTTAGCTCCTAACTCTGCCCCTCTCGGTGCTGTTTTTCTGGACAGGTCCTGCAGCTGGGCTCAGACATACTTCCACAGTACAAGCAAGAGGCGCCAAAGACACCCCCCCACATCATCTTACACTACTGCGTCTTTAAGACCACGTGGGATTGGATCATCTTGATCTTGACCTTCTACACGGCCATCCTGGTCCCTTACAACGTGTCTTTTAAGACCAGGCAGAATAACGTGGCCTGGCTGGTGGTGGACAGCATCGTGGACGTCATCTTCTTGGTGGACATTGTTCTGAATTTTCACACCACCTTTGTGGGGCCAGCGGGGGAGGTGATCTCTGACCCCAAACTTATCCGAATGAACTACCTGAAGACATGGTTTGTCATCGACCTCCTGTCCTGTTTGCCATACGACGTCATCAACGCTTTTGAGAACGTGGATGAGGTTAGTGCCTTAATGGGTGACCCAGGGAAGATTGGTTTTGCTGATCAGATTCCGCCACCACTGGAGGGGAGAGAGAGTCAGGTACATCCCTCAAATCTCGGACCTTGTTGCCATGTCTTTAAAGCTGAATGAAACGCGGGCGGTCGCAAGAGTCTGTAGGGTGGGTGCGCGGCAGCATGAGGACGGCACAGCGAGCATGCGCCAGGGATATCCTGCCTGCCGTCCCTGTCCTTTGGAGGCCCGCATGTCAGTGAGGGTGGAAGAGACCAAAGGCTCGCTCGCTCGCTCTTCCTCCCTGGGGAATGCCGCTGGCTGCTGGCTCAGGGGTGGAGGCTGCCGGAGCGTGCATGGCCGCCGCACCAGGGAACCTTGTCTTGGGCACTCAGCTGCTGGATGTCGGCCTGTTCTTTGTCAGCCCTCAATGCTGGCTGTTCCGAGGGCTGTTTGCTGGTGGGAACGGATGCGAGTTCCTCTCACTGTTTTCCGGGTGAATGTTGCCGTGAGTCCTGTCTTCACTGGTGTCACTTTTGAGGCGATTGTTAGCTAGGTTCCCCACGTGCGTGCTGGGGTTGGATGGAGGCTGCTCTCGTAATGGGTTGGGACTGGGGTGTTCTCAGGCAGACCTGCCCCTGCCTGAGCAGCTGTGGCAGGAAGGGCCTGTGGGCTGGTTAGGTCTTCTTTGGAAAAGCAGGGGTGCCAAGCCACTGCAAAGAGCTGGCTGGGGCTCGGTGGGGGTCCCCTCCACGTGGGATCAAGATAAAGCAGCCTGCTCAGCACAGGCCCTCATTGTCTCAGATTACAGAGGGCCAGGGGATTAACTGGGAGCTTCAAGGCAGCCATCTGGAGGCTGCTCCTGGCCTGGCACACCCTCTGGGGGCATGGGCAGCGTGGAAGGGAGAACCTATTCCCAGGCAGGGTAGGAAGCCCTGGCTGATGGCATCGCCATGCCTCTGCCTCCATGTCAGCAGCAGCCGTTGCTGAGGACATCAGCTGCTTCCTGTGGGGAAACCAAGTAGCCATTTGCTCTCCCCCTGAGGGGTAGCTTTCCTACGCAATGTTGCCAAGGTTAGAGGTGGAGGGCAGCGTGTGGACGCACACACGCTCTAGACCCAGAGCAGCCCAGCTGTGTCAGCGCGCTGTGTTTAAACGTAGGTTTGAGACAGTTAAATGTGTAATCCTCCTGCCTCAGCCTCCTCAGTGCTGGGAGTACAGGGCTAACTCCTGGATGGCTTCTGTGAGTTTTGCAAGGTTAAATGAGTCTAGACAGATCATCTACAAGCTTAGGATCGCCTCTGAAGAGAGTGTGGGCACTTTATACGGACCATTTTGTATACACACAGGAAGTTAAATGCTATATTGAAACAAGCCAATAAGCAAACGCTTGAGGAGCTGTGAGAGCACTCAGCGAGTAGGAATGTTTGTGAGAGCAGGAGGACTGAACCCGGTCCTTAGCACAAAGGTTAAAAACAAAAGAGAAAGGGAGAGCCCGGCACAGCTACGCCTGCCCGCGGCCCAGCGCTGGCAGTGCAGAGAAGTGGACCCTGGGAGCCTGCTGACCAGCCTGCCTCCTGGAACTGAACTTCAGCTTCAGCGAGAGCCTGGCTGGAAAACATGAGGCGGCGCTGGGTGGTGGCGGCACCGGGAGGTGGTGGTGACACTGGATGGCAGCACACCTTTAATCCCAGCATCGGGAAACAGAGGCAGGAGGATCTCTGTGAATTTGAGGCCAGGGTGGTCTTCAGAGTGAGTTCCAGGACAGCCAGGGCCACACCGAGAAGGCCTGTCTTGAAAACAAAAAAACGGTGTTGGGTAACAGAGGAAGATAACAGATGTCTTCCTTCTGTATACAATGCACAGCCGTGTGCTCACACGTGCTCACATATTCCATATATACACTGTGCACATGTATACACATGTATACACACACACACATACACCACACACACACACACACACACTCACTCAGCCACGTAAGCTGGTAAATAAGCCATGTGCTAGCGATGGCAGTGGTGTTGGGACTTTGGGCCAGCTAGGACAGCTCCTCAGCCTCCGTGGGTTCACAGTGGGGCCGGCAGAGCGGCAATCCTGTGTGAGAAGGTGGCTCCGCGGCCTGGGGCTAACCGCGCAGGGAGCTTGTTCCCAGGAGCCCGGCGTGCCGGGTTGCAGTGCCGGCTCCAAGCTCCAGGTTCGAGGGACAGATTGGGGTTAGGAGGTCAGCTGTGGTCGCGTGGGTGGACCGCCTCACTCACCATCACAAGCAGCAGCTGCTGGGTCACGGGACCAGGCAGGGCACCGTTTCAGAGCTTTGCATGACCACTGGAAGTGCCTTTCACACCAACCGCCATGTGTAGGGCGGTGTTTGAGGAAGCTGGGGGCGGGGTCGCTGTTGTCCTCCCCTCCCCCCCAATCACTGTGGCCACAGCTGCAGCCCTGGTCCATGCTGCCTTCCCTGCCAGCTCCATGCTCACATCTGTTCTTCATTGCGCTCTTCTCCAGATGCTCTTTGTTAAAACAAGAGGCTTGACCTTTGCCCTCTGCCCTGCCGTACTAGGGGAGGAAAACTTAAAGGCAGATGTGCAGCAGAGGGTGAATGGGGGATCCTGGCCCTTAGAGCTGGATGGGGCCTTCTGAGCTCGCTGCTAGGAGAGCAGACGCAGGGACCTGCCTTCCTCGAGATCTCAGTCACTCACTCACAGAACCACGGGGCGCTCTGCCCTGCTCCACAGCTGAGAAAACAGGAGCACCCTGAAGAGAGCACACCCACTAGAAGCTTCTCACGTGTGTGCCCACCGGGGGCTCCTGAAATGTCAGGAGAAGCTGGGTGTCCGGCATGGGGAGGAGGCTGGCTGGTCTGGTGTCTGAGGAGGGCAGACCCCTGGTCCCTGAGGGTGCCCGTAAGTGAAAAGCTACTGTTAGCCGAATGGGAGGGAAGGGCCAGGTCGTGGCAGGTAGAGGCTGGGAGGCCACCGGGGCTGTCCCATGCTTTCCCTCATGCCAGCCTTGGGGACAGTGTGGGAAGGCCCTGCGGATGGTGCTCTGAGTAGCGGCTTAGGGCCTCAGGCTCCACACCTCTCGCTGTACCCTTGGCCGAGGCTGCAGCACTGCTGACCTAAGGCCGAGGCTCCCTGTGCTCTGGATTCTCACTCTGGGAGAGTGTAGCAAGAGAGAGGAAACTACTGACTCATTTGTCATAAAAATACGTGGAGCTTAACTGTCCGTGGTGTCTTTATAGTCATGTCAGTGGGCCGTGTGCCGGGGAAGACCACGAAAGAAGACAAGACAGCAGCGTGTGTGTGTGTGTGCGTGTGTGTGTGTGCATGTGTGTGTGTGTGCATGTGTGTGTGTGTGTGTGCATGTGCGTGCGCACGTGTGTGTGTGTGTGCATATGTGTGTGTGTGTGTGCATGTGTGTGTGTGTGTGTGTGTGCATGTGTGTGTGTGTGTGTGCGTGCGTGAGTGCGCGCGCACTTCCATGCTTCTGGTGCAGAGTCTTGAAGGGAAAAGACTGGACCCAGCTCAGGCCAGACTCAAGAAAGAGCTGGACAGAGTCGCTAACGCCCATGGCCTTGCGTCCAGCTTGTGGACACTGGCCTCTTGGTGGTTTGAACCAAAAAATGACCCTTTTGTTTCCCCTGCCTTGCTTATGTAGATAGCCCCCGCTTGCGTCATCCTCCCGCTGTGGGAGATCATCTGCTCTGGAGGCCGTTTGTGAACACATCTGCAGTAGCTCAGCTCAGGGTCAGAGGACAGAAGGTCTGGAACCTGGCGAGCGGAGGCTGGGAAGGGGCATGCTGGCCCCGTGGCCGATCGTTGGCCTGGCACGCTTCCTGGACTAAAGCTGGGTCGTGAGGGCCAAGCGTCCCCCTCCTAAGCAGACCTGGTGCTTGCTGCTCTTGCAGTGTGGACGTGCAAAGGGAGAGGGCCAGTCAGGGCGCCTCTGGGTGCCTCTGGGTCCCTGCGCTGGTGTGCTGGCCAGAGGAGCTGTCTTCCTTCTCTGCTGACGCTGGTGCCAGCACCCTGCTGGGCCTCCCCTGGGTGAGGCATGCTCTTTTCCTCTCCTCAGTGTCTTGCCTTGTAGAAACACGGCTGTTCGGCACCTTCCTCTGCCTGTGTTTCCCATGCGCCTCACTGGAGGGCTGGGTGCCCAGGAAGACCATGCTTTAGTTCCTAGACCCTTGGTACCTCCTATCACTGTGAATCACTGTTGCCTGGAAAGCCTTCTGCTTTTGAAGATGCCTGCTGCAGACCAGGGCCGTGGTGCAGCCTAAGGCAGAAGGACAGTGAGTTCAGGGCCACTGTTCATACACAGTATAACCTTGCCTCAAAAAAATACCAAGATAAGTCTGGCTTAGTGTTGAAGGCCTCTGATCTCAGCTACTCAAAGGCTGAAGCAGGAAAACCATGAGATTGAGACTAGCCTGGGCTGGAGAGTGTAGCCTCGGCTGGAGACTGAGACCCTGTGTCAGCCTTACCACCTCCCTCAGATTGTTTTCTGACCACAGCCCTTGCGAAGGCCACGGCACCTCTGCTTGAACAGATTCCCACCCTGCACGTGGGTCAGGAAGAAAGCGGTGAAACGATAAATAGAGGCCAATGTTCCAGACTGTGCTGTCGGCAGTGGCATCCACGCCATCTCTGAAGCTAGACGCTGACCACTGCTGTTATCCTGCGAGAGACGCCCACATCCCCGGCTCTTCCTGCTGAATGATACCGGGCCGAGGGATGACACGTTGCGTCCGCTTTGATTCTGTTTTACCGATATGGCTGAGCAGCCATGAAGCCCAGGGGGCAGCGTCAGGAACGCTGCAGTGTGAGTTAGTGTCTGTCTCTTGTGCCTGCAGACACAGCGACTTGCCAGAGGGGTCGCTGACGTGTGGCAAGGAGCTGCTGCAGGTGCTGAGAAGGGCCCAGAGGAGGCGACTCCAGGGCGGAGCGTGCTAGTGCCTGCTGACATGGCCAGTGCTCCTCCGTGACAGTTTGCTAGAGTTGCTGTTACAGGGA